TAAGGATGATTCATTATATCGCTATGGATGAATAAGTCAGCTGTCAGCAAACTGCAAACAGCAAACTGTCAATTTTGTATATCATTCTGAACCCAGGAAATGTTCAATGTTAGCAGCCCCTAAAAACAACATGCTCGTTTCTAAACCTACCAAGAAAAATGTCCTCTAATCATTAAGTTAAAAAAATAATTTAGAGTAAGGAATATATACTATCAACCATATTCAAAGACATAAAAAGGAGAGTGTTTGTGATATAAAGATAATATTTCTATACAAACATATATTCAGTCACACTGTCATATGATTATATGTTATGTAACACAATTCCTAAAGCTTTTGAAGAGAAAACACTTGTTCTTAAGACCCTGGTTAGAGGAAAAGAGAAACGTATCTACTTCTGTGTAAATACCAAGAAGTCTTCTTTCCACATATGATTCCACACTATAGTCTCTGAACCAAAATTTAAGACAAATAGACTAACAAAGAATTTGTGCTATTTGGGGGTCTGAGAGTTGGGTGCCGAAACATTAGAATTCATGGAACCTAAATTTATAACAACAGCTGGGCATAATATGTAACTTGTCTGTGACCTAGAAAATCTAGACTATTAAATTATTAAGTAGCACAGGGCTTACATTCTCATAATTTTATAGCTCTCAAAATTGTATGGGAAGGTTGTAAAAGGAATTCCTTTTAGGCCTGAGCTCCCCCCTAAAAACAAGTACAGCTTTGTAAAACTACTGTCTCCCTCTAGTCACTAGATTTTCCCTGATGTCTTTAAAGACTGGAGGTTGTAAATCTAAAACAAAAAAGTTTAAGAAAATGGAAATACAAGGTGAAGGCAATGAAGGAGTTTGAATGTAGGTGCACAAGCCACATTTGGCAGACAGGGGCAGTGCCAGCTTTTGATAGTATTCTTGGGGGGGGGGGTCACCTGGATGCCCCTTGCAAGCTATCCAGCTACTCTGGCTAAAAGGCAGGACCACTCAAGCAGCGCCATGGACATGAGGGCTCCACAGCCTTCTCTCCAGGACGGCCAAGGTAGCGGGGGCTTCAGCTGGCCCACACCACTGCCCCTGAACCTGCTCAGAGCTGTAATTCCTCCTGAGCAGGAGTGAAGCCAGGCCTGGCGGCCAGGGCTGCGCGGCTACTGGGTGGCCTTCCTGCCCTCACTGGCCCGAGAGGTGAGGCCAATGAGCCTGTTCTGCCGGCGGCTGCAGACCCTCCCATTTCTTCTTCTTCTTCACGTCTGAAGGGAAGAGAAAGGTCTAGGCCCACCCACTTACAGGCAAAAGGACTTACACTTGGTTTCACCTTTGGATCTTGAAAATGAGCCTTTAAAAGGAGCCACACCAAAATAAATGCTTAATTTATTCCTTTTGTAATGTACAGCTCTAATCTCATAATGTACATGTATATTCTGAGTATACATTATATGAATATATCTGCGCCAATCTCATAATATACATGTATATTCTGAGTATATCTTATATGAATATATCTGTTCTAGGACACGATTTGATTCTCATGAGTTCACTTTGTGAATCGGAAACAGGCACGGTGACACCACCCCCCCCCCCACGGGGG